GAGCTCTCTCCCTCTCTCTCAAAAAATAATAAATAAATAAAATTGGGTTGTTTTCTTAGTATCGAGTTTTGAGAGTTCTTTCTATATTCTGGATACAAGTCTTACCAGATATGTGACTTTCATGTATTTTCTCCAAATCTGTGATTTATCTTTTCATTTTCTTAACAGTGTCTTTAGAAATGTTGGAATTCTTACTTTGGACAGTCCAATTAATCCATTTTCACTCCATTGATGGACTGTGGTTTTGGTGTTCTAAGAAATCTTTGTCTAACCCAAGGACACACAGATGTTCTTTTATGTGTTTTCTAGAACTTTTCTGGGTTTTGGTTTTATATTTAGGTCATGTTCCACTAATTTTCGTAAATGGTGTGAGGTACAGATTGAAGTTCTTTTATTTTTATTTTTGGAAAAATAAATGTTCTAGCATTATTTCTTGAAAAGACTATGTTTTCTCCAATGAACTGTCTTTGATCTTTGTCAAAAATTAACTGGACATATATGTATGAATGCATTTATTTCTTAACTCTCTATGAGAGAGAGAGAGAGAGAGAGAGCACATGAGTGGGGGAGAGGAATAGAGAGAGGGAGAGGGAATCACAAGCAGGCTCTGCGCTGTTAGTGCAAAGCCCAACGCAGGACTTGAATTCACAAACCATGAGATCATGACCTGAGCAGAAATCGAGTTGGATGCTTAACTGACTGAACCACCCAGGCACGCCTCCAGGTTTTTAATAGATACTCTTCATCAGGTTGAGATAGTTCCCATCTGTCCCTCACTTACTCAGAGTATATATCAGGAATGTACCTGTAGAGATGCTCATATTGTTTTTCTTTTATTAGTCTGTTAAAATGCTGAAGTACCCTGAGTTTTGAATGTTAAACTAATTTTGTGTTCCTGGCATAAGCCCCTATTTGCTCATTATACATTATTCTTTTTGTATGATGAATCTGATTTGTTAAAAATTTGTAATTTCTTGTTTGTTTATGTATTTATTTGCCTCTATGCTCATGAAGGATATTTGTCAATCCATTTCCTATAAGGTCTCCGTCTGGCTTTGGCATTAGAATAACACTGACTTCTAGAATGAGTAGAGAAGTAATCTCTTCCCTTTTCTGGAAGAGTTTTTGTGGATTTGGTATTAGTTCTTCCTTAAATGGATTGCTGAATTCTCCAGTGAAGACATCTGTACCTAAGAGTTTTCTATTTTTAAAATAAATATAGGGGCGCCTGGGTGGCTCAGTTGGTTAAACGTCTGACTTCAGCTCAGGTCACGATCTCATGGTTTGTGGGTTTGACCTCCAGGTTGGGCTCTGTGCTGACAGCTAGCTCAGAGCCTGGAGCCTGTTTCTGATTCGGTGTCTCCCTCTCTCTCTGACCCTCCCCTGTTCACGCTGTCTCTCTCTCTCAGAAATAAATAAAACATTAAGGAAAAGTTAAAAAAATTAAAATTTAGAGCTAGCAGAGTTATCTGCCTCTTCTTGAATAAGACTTAATGGTTTGTACCATTTAAGAAATTTGTCCATTTAACTTGTTGAACTTACTGGCATAAAGCTTTTCATAATATTACCTTATTTTTTAATAATCTGTAGAATCTGTAGTGATGTCACTTCTCTCAGTCCTGATATTGATTATTTATGCCTTTTATCTTTTTTTCCCTAATCAGTTAGATCACAGGTTTATACATTTTATTGATCTTCTCAAAGAACTAGTTTTTCTCTATTGTTTTTCTTTTTTCTATTTCATTGGTTTTCAATCTAATCTTTTTTTTTTTTAGTGTTTTATTTATTTCTAGGAGAGAGAGAGACAGCGTGAGCAGGGGAGGGTCAGAGAGAGGGAGTCACAGACTGAAACAGGCTCCGGGCTCTGTGCTGGCAGTCAGCACAGAGCCCGATGCAGGGCCCGAACCCACAAACCACGAGATCATGACCTAAGCGAAAGTCGGACGCTTAACTGACTAAGCCACCCAGGCGCCCCTAATCTAATCTTTGTTATTTCTCTTCTCTGCCTAGTTTAGATTTCATCTGCTCTCCTTTCTGAGTTTCTAAAAGAGAAGCTGAGGACATAAATTTAAGTCCTACGCTTACTTTCTAATGCAAGTGTATAGCATTATAAATTTCCCACAATTTTTTTTTTTGTTTCCATATTCATTAGGTTAAAATACTTTCCAAGTTTTCTTTTGATTTCTTCCTTGGACTACAGGCTATTTAATTTTTTTAATGTTTATTTATTTTTGAGAGAAAGAAAGATGGTGCATGAGTGGGGGAGAGGCAGAGGGAGACGGAGACCCAGAATACGAAGCAGGCTCCAGGCTCTGAGCTGTCAGCATAGGGCCCGATGTGGGGTTCAAACCCACAAACCACGAGATCATGACGTTAGCTAAAGTCGGCTGCTTAACTGACTGAGCCACCTAGGTGCTCCAATATAGGCTATTTTAAAGCATTTAAGTCAGCTTCCCAATTTTTTTGGTGGGGCTCTAGATATCTTTAGGCTCTTCTTTTCTGATTCAGTTTCATCGAAACCAGAAAAAATACTTCATATGATCTGAATATTTTCAATTTTATTGAGACTTGCTCTATGGTCTCAAATAAGGTCTATCGTGGCAAACCTTCTGTAGACACTTGAAGAGAATCTTCATTCTATTGCTTTTGGGTAGAGTATTCTAGCAATGCCAATTAGGTGAAGTTGATTAATAGTGGCATTTAAGTTTTTTGTTTTTTTTAAACATTTTTAAATGTTTTATTTATTTCTAGGAGAGAGAGAGAGAGAGAGTGTGAGCAGGGGAGGGTCAGAGAGAGAGGGAGTCACAGACTGAAACAGGCTCCAGGTTCTGAGCTGGCAGTCAGCACAGAGCCCGACGCGGGGCTCGAACCCATGAACCGGGAGATCATGACCTAAGCGAAAGTCGGACGCTTAACCGACTAAGCCACCCAGGCGCCCCGGCATTTAAGTTTTTTATATCCTTACTAATTTTCTGTTTACTTCTTCTATCAACTATTGAGAGAGGGGTGGTGTTGAAATCACCAACTATAATTGTGGATTTGTTCCTTTTTTCCTTTGCAGTTCAGTGAGTTTTTGTTTCATGTATTTCGAAGCTCTGGGTATTAGGTGGATAAATACTTAGAATTGTTGTGTCCTTCTGATGAACTGCCCCTAACCTTAGGTTCCTAACCTAAGGCATGCTCTAAGTATTTGTAGAATTAATGAGTTAATAAATAACTACTGATATTTTCCAAGGAAGTATGAGTGTGACTATGGAAAATTCTGGTAACCCCTTTAGACCAATTTCCTCTCTTTTAGAATGGGAGGGGGTGGTAATGGGTGAACCTTGGGGGGACAAGACATTGAAGAGTGTTTTTCAAACCTTGCTGTGGGGGACCCCACGGGTTTGTAGGGATACCTTCCTCAGGAGAGCCTTCTACCCCATGGCCATCCCAGCATGTAAGTAGGACTCTAAGTCATTTTACCTATTGCCTTTCGATGTAATATTTCAGCTGATGTGAGGACCGTAGAACTAAATCCTCTCAACCAATGCGACTGTGAGAAAATGTCCCATAGTGGCCAAGGTAGGAAAGCAGCACAGTTCAGAGGAAGGGCCCTGAGGCAAACAATCAGGAAATAGGCAGGTTACTGTCCTACCTCTCCCACTGGCTGACTGAGACACCTTTGGTGTGAGTGTCAGCATCTCTGCCCACGTTAGTGGTAGAGGTTCTCATTTGGAGAGTCTCCAAAGGAGACTTTCTCAACTAGTATCTAAGGCTGTTCTTGGTTCTATGTATGTGTGTTTGTGTCTTTAAAACATAGACCATAACTTGGGCAACTACTGTGGCATCTCACTGATGATCCCATCATTACACAGAACCTCACCAGATTTCCTGTTAGGGTTTCATCCCTTTAGGACTTGGGTAGCAAGAAATATAAGGGTAGGAGAGGGGTCACCACAGGGGCAGATTGGCATACGTGAAGGCCTGGGGAGGGAGGAAAGGGCATGAAGTTTGGCAGGGATTTATGCAGGGGCGCAGAGAAGGGAGTGTGGTTTTGTCATTGGCCTCACGCAGGCTTGAACTTCCTTTGGAAGAAAATGGGGAGCCAATGAAGAATGTGGAGCTGGACAGTGGCATGGCTAGGCTGTGCTTTGGGGTTGTTAATCAAGTGTGGCTACAGAAACAGAGTGAAATAGAAATCTGGGAGACAGAAGGGTGAGTATGGAAGGGATGCTCAAGGAAGAAATAAGGTATCCAGAGAGCTCTGAGTGATGAGGTTTGGGTTGATTTGGCTTTCTCTCTCTGTTGGGTTTTCTTTCTTCTTCTTCTTCTTCTTCTTCTTCTTCTTCTTCTTCTTCTTCTTCTTCTTCTCCTTCTCCTTCTCCTTCTCCCTCTTCCTCTTCTTCCTCTTCTTCCTCTTCTTCCTCTTCCTCTTCTTCTTCTTCCTCTTCTTCTTCTTCTTCTTCCTCTTCCTCTTCTTCTTCCTCTTCCTCTTCTTCTTCCTCTTCCTCTTCTTCCTCTTCCTCTTCTTCCTCTTCTTCTTTTTGAGAGAGGGAGAGAGTCGGGAGACTGCAAGTGGGGGAGGCAGGGAGAGACAATCTTAAGCAGGCTCCATGCCTACTGTATAGCCCTGACTTGGGGCTCGATCTCACAACCATGAGATAACGACCTGAGCTGAAAACAAAAGTCAGACACTTAACTGAGTGAGCCGCCCAGGCACCCCTCTTTCTTTTTAACAATCCACATGTACATGTGTGTATATATATAATTATATGAAATTAGAAAAGACAATGAAGGTATTGTCATAAACAGAAATAAATTCTGGAATTGCTAAAAGATGGGAACATTGATATTCTTCAAACAGTAAATGCTGGCAATCAATTTCAAAGGTGAGATACCGTTTCACGCTTGAAACTCCAAAGACAGAAAAATATTCCCAAATAACACTTCTGTTTTCTTATAGAGTAACTCTTGAAATAGAGGAATGTAAACATGAGACTTCAACGGTTGTCACTTACAAAAATGTAAAGCGGGTCATAGTCCGGAGACCTGGTTAAGGCCTCAGGTGGTTTCATGCCCAAGACCGAGGCCTTGCCTGGGAGCTGAGGTGCAGAGTCCTGCTTGGGCAGAGTTATGATGGTGGTGGCTTCATCCTGGGAAGGAACCAAGCAGTATGTGAGTCTTGACACGGGCACAAGAGGGGAAACATGAGAGCAATTCTTTTTTATTTTTAATGTTTATGTATTTATTTTTGAGAGAGAGACAGGGAGGGAGCGCATGCAAGTGTGCAAATGGAGGAGGAGTGAAGAGAAAGACAGAGAGAGAGAATCCCAAGCAGAATCCCAAGCCTGACTCAGGGCTCGACCTCACAAACCATGAGATCATAACCTGAGCCAAAATCAAGACTCAACCCTCAACAGACTGAGCCACCCAGGTGCCCGTGAGGGAGAAATTCTTAAAGGTGGGGGCTGTGTTACCTCAGCCCCTTGCCTCAGGGCCCGGGCAAGCTTTTGAGGTCTGTAGCTTGTGGATGACTTCTGGACACAGAATGGTTGATACCCTTTAAGTTTGTACAGCTGAGGAACCTGAGGTCAAAGAAGACAACTGATGAAATGTTCTCAAGACGCCCGTTACCAATTCATGGGATCTAATTCTCAGCAACAGCACTGCTGAGTTGCCTGGCACTAAAAGGAACATGAATACCTGGTTGTGGCCACCACCTTGTGCGGCCACTGTTAGTTTGGCCCAGCACTGGAGGGACATGGGCTCCAGTCCCAAGCCCTGTTCTGGGTCCCCACTCTGGGTCCCAGCACACATGTACATTTACCACGACTCTCCTCTACCACAGGGCTTATTGGTAGAAATACACCGAACACTGGTTAATAAACCGGTGATTTAAAATACTTATATTTTCAAAACCAGAAGTGGCCGTGATACCTCAAGAAAGGCCGACTGACTTCTGTTCACGTGATCTTGTGCTTTTTCTTAAAGTTTATAATATACATAATTCAGGTGGCTTCATGTACGCGTAATATATCGCATATCCCCGGAGTAAAGAGAAACCACATTACACCTCACACATACCATCAAATAACACCAGAAGAATACGCACAGTGTGCTCTAGTGTATCAGCTATAAATGAACGAAACTGATAAAATAATGCAGTTCAAATTCAAGAATAGTTTGTTCACTTCATAAGAAACCCGTTAGCTAATACCGTATGACAGGTCTGACCTGCAGGCTGAAGAAATAATAGTTCTGCTTGATTTGAATTTCCAAAGATTTAATTGGGACTGGTCCAAGGCCATCAGGAGCCTAAAATGCGGAAATTCAAAAAACATTGACACATAATCAACGTTGGGTGAAAGCGGCTGCGCGTCTATTCCCGTACATTCCGCCACCTTTCCCGTGACCGCAGTTGCTACTTGAGGCAGCGCTGGCCAGGCTCTCGTTCTTGTCTCATAGTATCTGTGATCCTTCTTTCTTTTCTGTTGTTTGTGGGAGCTGCAACATGCTACCCAGAATCCCCTGCAGCCTCAACCCGTTCAGTCCTCCTACTTCAAGGAGTCCTCTTAATGGAAACAACTCTCGGGGCGCCTGGGTGGCTTAGTCGGTTAAACGTCCGACTTTCGCTTAGGTCATGATCTCGCGGTTCGTGGGTTCAAGCCCCGCGTCCGGCTCTGTGCTGACTGCCAGCTCGGAGCCTGGAGCCTGTTTCAGTCTGTGACTCCCTCTCTCTCTGGCCCTCCCCTGCTCACACTGTCTCTCTCTCCTGGAAATAAATAAAACATTTAAAAAAAAAAAAATGGAAACAACTCTCAGGGCTCAGCCCTCTTCAGGAGCTGCCTTGGTTGAAGGGCGCGGCCTCATTCAAGGTCCTATGCCTCCCCACCCCCCAGGGCGGCCTGCCTCCAACTGCAACTTGGAGGTATCAGTGGTATAAATGCCAGCTCCTCTCGCCCTACCCCAGCTTCAGAGCCCCTCATGAGTTCAGCTGGAGCCCCCGTCCAGGATGACAGTTCTCTCTCGGTCCACACCAGCTCCCGCTGCTTCCCTTCCCCAGGGGCTGACCCCCAAAGCATGACCTTCCTGCATGCTGTCTGCCTCCGTCACCCAGAGGACCTGGAATAGTGCCTGACACACTATGGACACGCGGTAAATGCTGTATTTCACCTCATCAAAGACGCCATCATTAAATGGATTCGATGCAATGCTAATATGCCATCCATTAGAAGACATTTCCCAATTTCAAAGATGCTAGTATAAAAAAGAATTGATGAGATAAAGTATCTATGGAATGAATTGCAAAATTCATTATAAATGGGAATGCTGAGCATTCTGTCTTTTTTTTTTTTGGCAATTAAAGGTTTTTATTTTTTTATTAATTTTTTGAGCATTCTGTCTTTTATCAACCCCGAATGGAAGAGAAATCTTAGTAGGACTAAAGTGCCAGATGGAAGGAAGAGAAATCTTAGTAGGACTAAAGTGCCAGATGGAATGTGTAAGATGGGAACTACTGAAGAAAAATGAGATGGGCCCCACAGCACAGTGATCTCTTCATCCCTCTTGCCCTTTGCACCCCATTAATTATTAAGTGTGCTCATTAATGCTTGAAAATCACCAGTTTATTATTCCCTAGGAATTCCGCAGTCTGATCTTTTAGGTCATTTAATTATCTAATGCCGAAAACATGGAATTTCTAATGTCAGCCCTGCAATTCTTGAGTAGATTAACCTGCAATGCATAATATATGTTGTAGGATGTGAATGGCAAGTTTATTCTTTAAAACTAAAAAATTAATTTGCATGGGCACTTTCAACATCAATTTATTTAAAAAAATATTTTTAATGTTTATTTTTGAGGTAGACAGAGAGACAGAGCAGGAACGGGGGAGGGGAAGAGAGAGGGAGATAGAATCTGCAGCAGGCTCCAGGCTCTGAGCTGTCAGAACAGAGCCCAATGCGGGGCTCAAACCCACGAACCTGAGATCGTGACCTGGGGGAAACTCGGACCCTTAACCGGCTGAGCCACCCAAGTGCCCCTCAACATCAAATTAAACATGCCTTTTACTGTGAAGGACATGAACTTAGGCTATATTTTATTACTGGCCATGTGAGCTTGTGTCTCGTTTCCTCCTCCTCTGTAAAACAATAAGCCTGTCACACAGATTCGTTCAAGAGTAAATGAATTGATACAAGTGAGGCATTTCAGGCCCTGCTTGACTCATGGTAAGTGCAATGTTAAGAGTCAGTATCATTTTTATTTTAATGCATCATCATGCCCATAAGGCAAGAAAATGAACTGTCACACCTCTTGCCAGAGAGAGAGAGAGAGAGAGAGAGAGAACTGAGTCTCATGGGTTAGAGCATTAGATCGCGGGGCCACCTGTCTCTGGCCACTCCATTGCTCATGCAGCAGAAGGACCCAGGCGGGCGGGGCACACCCTCCCCGCCATGCCCCACCAGGCCAGGCCTTCTTGGACTCTCTATCTGCCCTTCTGTTCCCAGGCCCAGTTCCCTGGGCTGTCAGGAGGGGCTCTTGCTGGGTTCCAGGCTGGGGAGCACCCAGTGCAGATTACAGGGAGCTCCCCACAGGTATGTTAGGGCCAGGCAGGTGGCAGTAGGTGATCCCTGGTTCCCCACCGGTCACAAGTCCTTGGGCACGGGCGTTTCCTGGGAGCTCCTCACGAGGAGGTGAAGGGACAGAGCCTGAGGTCGGGTTTGCCTTGGCGTCTGCCTAACACGCACCTGCCCCGGCCCCACGCGGCCACCCCACGGCACCTACCAGCTCGCTGGAGCTCTGAGGAGGACTGTAGGATGGGAAGGCGAAGGGCAGTACTTTCCTGGGCGAGATGAGCCCAATCGAGCGATTGTCTTGACCAGTCTGAGGCAGAAAGTGTCTGGAGGCATTCTTGTCTGTGGGTGCAGAACCAAAGGGCGCTTTGGGGGAGCGCTTGGGGCGTCTGTATGTGAAGCTGCCATCCTCAGTTTCGTATCTGCCGCCCGCCATTTGGAAAAGGATACAGGTCTCTGCCTACAGTCCCATTTGTAGTTTTCTTTTGTGCCTTGCCTCACCCCCTTTTCCAATTTTTAAAACTTTCTCATTTTTTTTTTCACTTCCAAAAAACTATACTTCTTAATGAAAGGATCTCTAATGAGTAGTCTTTGTCCTTGTCAGCAAATAAAAAGATCACATTTATAAAAAGCAAAAAACATATGAAGGGGGCGCTTGGGTGGCTCAGTTGGTTGAGCGTCCGACTTGGGCTCAGGTCATGATCTCAGAGTTTGTAAGTTCGAGCCCTGAATCTGCCTCTCTGCTGTCATCGTAGATCCCGCTTCAGATCCTGTCTCCCTTGCTCTCTGCCCCTCCCTCACTCATGCACGCATGCACACGCGCATGCACGCTCGTTCTCTCTCAAAAATAAAACTAAACATTAAAACATTAAAAAAACTTTAAAAAACCCATATGAAGACATTTTACAGGAGTCCATATATAATTAACAGGTAAACTTCACAATGCTTTAAAAAAAGGGGCATCTGGATGGCTCAGTCGGTTGAGTGTCTGACTTTGGCTCAGGTCATGATCTCATGGTTCACGAGTTGGGGCCTGGAGTCCAGCTCTGTGCTGAGAGTCCAGAGCCTGGGGTCTGCTTTGGATTCTGTGTCTCTCTTTGCCTCTCCCCCACTCGAGTTCTTGTCTCTTTCTCTCAAGAATAAATAAACATTAAAAAAGTTAAAAAACAAAACAAAACAATACTTTAAGAGTTTCTTTATTAGAAACATCAATACTGGGGGCGCCTGGGTGGCTCAGTCGGTTAAGCGTCTGACTTCAGATCAGGTCATGATCTCACGGCTCGTGAGTTCGAGCCCCGCGTCAGGCTCTGTACTGACAGCTCAGAGCCTGGAGTCTGTTTCTGATTCTGTGTCTTCCTCTCTCTTTTAACCCTCCCCCGCTCACACTCTGTGTCTCTTTCTCTCTCAAAAATAAATAAACATTAAAAAATGTTAAAAAAAAAAAAAAGAAACATCAATACTGGAGATCAAAATAATATAGGAGGGGAAAAAAGGCATAATTTAAGAAAAATGTTTTATTTATTTTTGAGAGAGAGTGAGAGAGAGCATGCGCATGTGCACGGGCGGGAGGGACAAAGTATTCAAAGCAGGCTCTGCGCTGACAGCACTCAAATCACTAACTATGAGATCATGACCTGAGCCGAAGTCTGATGCCCAACTGACTGAGCCGCCCAGGTGCCCCAAAAGCATAATTTCTTTTTAAAGTTCATTTATTTATTTGAGAGAGACAGACAACGTGAGTGGGGGAGGGAAGGAGAGAGAGGGGGAGAGAGAATCCCAAGCAAGCCCTGTGATGCCAGGGCAGAGCCTGATGTGGGCCTTGAACTCGCCAAACCCCGAGATCATGACCTGAACTAAAACCAAAACCTGGACCCTTAACCAACTGCGCCCCTCAGGTGCCCCAGAAAAAAGCATAATTAAAGTACAATAAAATGTTGTGAAAAACCAAATACCCATCTGGATCTTGAAGGAGAGGAAGAATGAAGAGCTAGGCTTGGGGGCCTCAGGCTAGGGAGAGCCAGAAGGGTCTGGAAGGAGAGGGGCCTGCCCGTGGGTCTGCATGCAAGCTATAGATGGGGAAGACGGTCATGCAGCTTTTGGGCTCCCAGAAGCCACCGAGAGCACGGCTCCAACAGCCCAGTCACCTCGGGCATTCTAGGACTGGAATTCCTTTAAGTAGCAAAGATAATATAAGATAAAAAAGATTTTTGCGCAAATGCTATGCTGAGATAGCACCAGATGCAGCCCACCAGTCAGCAAGTACGGATACGGGCCATCCTGGCCTTTCTGGTGACCAGACAGAGCAGAGGCCGCAAAGCAAGACATCAAGCCACGGCCACCCCTCACGGGCGTTATGGCTTGGCAGGGCGGTTGGCCCTGCTAACTCTCAGTTGGGCATTCCAGCCAAATGTGGCAGGGAAGTCTGATTCATGTCCTGGGCAGGTGGAAAGGCGCCCCCTCCCCCAAAGATGTCCACATTCAGTGTGTGTGTGTGTGACTCCATCACCTTACATGACAAAAGGGACTTTGCAGGTATGATGCGGTTAAAGATTGGTTAAGAACTGGGTAATTCCAGGAACCATGTGAGGGGGACACCGGGGGGTTACAGTCAGAGGAGGTGTCACAGAGGAAGCAAGAGATCATAGTGGCGTGAGGAAGGGGCCTCCGGAAGCTAGAAAGGCCCGAAGAGACCCTCGGCTGGAGCCTCCAGAAGGGGCCAGCCCCACTGACACCTTGATGTTTGACTCCTGACCTCCAGCAATGTGCGATGATACATTCATGTTGTTTTAAGCCATTAAGTTTGTGTCATTTGGTTACAGTGGCCATAAAAAAAAAACCCTAACAGATGTGATTTATGAAACCGTTTTACCTCTATGCAGCTAACTTCATGACACAGAAGAATCACGCTCAGAGAAGTTATGGCCAAAGCATCGCTGCACTTGACCTCTGTGCTTTACCTGATACTACTGACTGTCTTCCTTGACTGAGCTTTCTGATTACGGTCTCTCTGTCCATGTTATGAATAGCACTCAGCATAATGATTAACCTTCGATGAACCATGACCTAGAATGAGAAGGGACAGATTCAAGTTATTAATTGGTACGTGCTCATTTTGATGTGCAAGTTGATTCACTTTCCCCAACCACGACTGAGGGCTGAGGCCCCACCTCTCGGTCAGAATTTACAGGGAGAATGCACGCTGCCCCAGACTGAGGCCACAGGGACTTCAAGGTCTCGACTATGTTGACTTGTCCAAATGCAAAAAAAAGACCAAGTTGTCATCTGTCCTTGTCCCACCCAATTTATGAGCCCTGTTTTTCTATTTCCAGAGTGGAAAGAATGACGAGTTCCGCATCCCTTCTTTTCCATGTATCTGACTGATCATGCTCCTGCCGTGTTATTTTCAGAGGGGAGGGACCGAGTAAACACATGGTGGTGTAGGAACGGGGCTGTGGATTTCGGGCAATGCTAACTGCGTATCACTGTGCTTTGCACCCAGAGCACATGTGACCGGAGGTGAGTGCTATCTGTGCACAAAGCGGTGGCTGAAGGGACCATTCCTTCCATAATGAATACCCCTTTCCATCCTGCAAAGGACTCTCATTTAACAAATAAACAGTATGAAGTGTCAGTGCTGTGGCCATTCTGATCCAGCTATTGCGGATACCATGAGATCAAACAATGGTCCTGCTGGCACAGAACTGACGTTCTAGGTGGGTTGTGTGCATGTGTTGGTTGCGGGGGGGTGGGGGAGGGACAACAATAAACAATTAAATGAATCCAGAGGATAAATACCACGAAGACGGTAAGAGAGAGTAAATGCACGAGGGCATGAGCGAGGAGCTAGGAAAGGGGTGCTCTGGCCGCTGGTGCAAGAAGAATTAGGAAGGAGGTGAGGCTTGATCTCAGACTTGAGGAGGAGGAGGAGAGAATGACCCTGGGAAGGGAATTCAGAGCAGAGGAACCAGTGAATATGAAGGTCCTGCTTCAGGAACAAAGGAGACCTATTTAAGGGACAGAGAGAAGTCCAATGTGGCCTTGGCCTTGACAGGAGTTGTGCACTTCATTCCAATTGCAATGGGAAGTCTCCAGAGGGCTTTACCAGGGGAGAGGTGTTGTCACCTTTAAGCTTTGGGAACACTAGTCTGGCTGCCACGGGGGCACTGGACGCAGGGAGAGCGGCTGCACAGGTCTGGAGGGTTGGGGGGACGATGGGGCCGTGACCGATCCAGGGAGATGGTAGGAGTCATCAGACTGGGGACATATTTATCCACTGAGCTGACAGTCTAGCTGGGGAGTGAGGGAAAGACTGAGCCGTCACTTAAAGCAAAGCTCATAACTGCTGACAATGCTTTTTCACACTGGAGGGCTCAGCCCGGAAGGGCCGTATGGTCCCACTGCTGGGGAAGCCAGCCAGCCTGGCCAGTCCCACTGTTGTCTGCCCACTGCCAGCAGCTGTGCCCTTGTCCCTTGACAGCTTCGTGCTGCCTCTTTCCACCACGCTCTTCCCCACTCTGGAGTATCTTGTGGTCACCTCTCTTCTGCACATATGCAGAGCCCCCCCACCCCCACCAGCCATGGTCCTCCAGGGCCCTGGGGAGGTCACCCATCAGTGGGTTCTGCCTCTCCCCCCATAGATTGTCATCAGTCCAGAATGAAAACACTGCTTGAGAGGCACCTGGGTGGCTCAGTCACTTGTGCCCAACTCTTAGTTTCAAGAGTCACAATCTCACTGTGAGTTCGAGCCCTACATCAAGCTCTGCACTGACAGGGCAAAGCCTGCTTGGGATTCTCTTTCCATCTCGCTCTGCTCCTGGCCTGCTCTCTCTCTCTCTCTCACTCTTGCTCTCTCAAAGTAAATACACAAAACTTTATTCTTTTTTAATTAAAAGAATTTTAACTTTTATTCATCTTTGAGAGACAGAGAGAGACAGAGCATGAGTGGGAGAGGGGCAGAGAGAGAGGGAGACCCAGAACCCAAAGCACTCCAGGCTCTGAGCTGTCAGCACAGAGCCCAGATACTGGGCTCAAACCCACAAACCGTGCGATCATGACTTGAGCCAAAGTCGGATGTTCAACCAACTGAGCCGCCCAGGCGCCCCAATAAACAAAACTTTAAATGAAACAAGACACTGCTTGAAAGATAACCTGTGACACAAACTTTTGGAGTCCCCACTTAATGTTTACAAAAACACTGTGACACATATCTGATTGTTACCCTCAGTTACAGATGAGGAAACCAAGGCACAGAGGTTGTATAACTTGTCCAAGATCAGAAATCTCATAAGTAGCGTCAAGAATTAGGGGCAGGCAGGGCGCCTGGGTGGCTCAGTTGGTGAACCATCTGACTCTTGATTTCAGCTCAAGTCATGATCTTGAGGTTGTGGGATCGAGTCCCATATTGGGCTCCATGCTGAGCGTGGAGCCTGCTTGGGATTCTGTCTCTCTCCCTCTCTCTCTCTGCCCCTCTCCCACCTCTCTCTCTCAAAATAAATAAACATTAAAAAAAAAAAAAGAATTAGGGGCAGTCGCCTTGTTCCAGAGTCCAAGTCTCAACCGCTGCTCTTGAGTTACGGCTCTGCTCTGCGAGGCAGCCACACACCAGTGCCTGGGACAAGGGACCCATGGGCAGCAGGAGATGCAAGAGGCAGCACGGATATCACGCCGTGCTAACTCTCACAAGGAGGACTGCTGCTTGGAGGAAAGTAGACAGGCGCTGTCCCAAAAGTCACGTGTGCACACATTGGGGGAGACAGAACGGCTTCTCAGTTGGAGGGTGAGGAGCAGAGACACGGGCTCGTAGCAGGGAACAAGCTGGTATGTTTGGAAGAAGACAGTACGGGGACCACACAGACGATGGAGGCGGGGCACGGGCTGTGCAGCTGGAGAGGTGTGGCTGCAGCCAGACCAGGCACTCGCCCGAGATCCCGTGTTTCTATCCTGATCATGGACAGCCACTGGAAGCTACAGTGTGCTGGGTGGAAGGCCACTGCGAGGGTGAAGAAGTCACAGCAGTGAGATGACACACCTCGAAGGGGAAGCCATAAGCCCAGATGAGACAAGATCCCACAGGAATTCTCAACGGTTTCCTCTAGAAGTAACTGATCAAAATCCAATTGTTCGAGAGTAACCATACATAGGACCCAGCAAATTTCACTCCTAGGTATATGCCCAAGAGAACTGAAAACACATGTCCGTAAACATGTGCGCAAATGGTCACAGCATTATTACTCATGAAAGCCAAAAAGGGAGAATGCCACAAATGTTTCATTTTCATGTGAAATATTCATTTTCATTTCATATTCATTTCATTTCATATTCATTTCATGTGAAATATTCATGAAAATATTCATTTTCATGTGACGAATAGGCCTAAGATGGTGCATCCACACAATGGGACAGTCTTCCAGGAAGAGACATGAAGTACCAATACAGCTTACAATATGGATGAACCTTGAAAACACACTGAGTGAAAGAGCCAGGTACAAAAGGCCATGTGCCTTATGAGTCCACGTTTATGAAATGTCCAGAAGAGGGGCACCTGGGTGGGCTCAGTCAGTTTAAGCGTCTGACTTCGGCTCAAGTCACGATCTTGCAGTCCGTGGGTTCAAGCCCCGCATCAGGCTCTGTGCTGGCAGCTCAGAGCCTGGAGCCTGCTTCCAATTCTGTGTCTCCCCCTCTCTCTGCCCCTCCCCGCTCACACTTTGTCTCTCTCAAAAATAAATATTAAAAAGAAAATGTCCAGAAGAGGCAAATCCATAAAAACAGAAACAGATCAGTAGTTGCCAGGGACCAGTGGATGGAGAGGGGCGGGCTCCTAATGGGAAACAGGTTCCCCTTTGAGGTGATAAAAAAAACATGTTCTCAAATTAATTGATTGCTATGTCGTACACCTGAAACTAATAAAACATTGTACGTCAGCTATACTTCAAAACATTTTTTAATGTTCTTAAGTTTGGCTGTACCACTCAGTAAACATATTAAAACCCACCAAACCATATACTTTACAAGAGTGAGTTTTATGATATATATCTCCATAAGGCTGTTATAAAAAAAGAAATTCACTGTTTGATTTCCTTGTGCTGAGAGCTACCCAAATGGAAATTTCCATCTGGTGCCGGGACTCACCTTGCGTGCTGCCTGTTGAAATCTCCTTTGTGCCCTGAACCTGTTTGTCCAAGTGTTATTAATGAGTGGATCGAAATTAGGATGGAATTCCTTGGTTTTCTGTGAACACAGAACATAGGCACATCTTACACTTAACATTTAACTCCAGGTGGGAGCATTTAATAACAATGTTGAGTTTGAGCCCAAAACAACTTATTATTTATTTGTTCTGCTACTGAATGAGCATTTATTCAGCACTTTTCATGTACGTAGCAATACAGAGATTTCTTCCTGGGGGGGAGGAGAAAAGTGGGATTTGAGATTTGAGTTCTAAACAAATTTACAATCTAGGGGCGCCTGGGTGGCTCAGTTGGTTAAGCACCCGACTTCGGCAGGGGTATGATCTCGCAGGTCCTGAGTTCAAGCCCTGCGTCGGGCTCTGTGCTGACAGCTCAGAGCCTGGAGCCTGCTTTGGATTCTGTGTCTCTCTCTCTGTCCCTCCTCCGCTCACACTCTCTGTCTCTCAAAATAAATTAACATAAAAAAAAAAGTTTAGAGTCTAGTTAGAGAAGGTCAAGCAAACACGTGCAACCCGGAGGAGGAAGAGAGTTGCAGAGAAATAGGTCGCAAGTGCTGGGTGCTGGCACCGCCCACACTGGGAGGAGCAGACTCTGTGCCCCGCCTCCCCCAGGGCAGAAGGGGGAGCGCTCTGCTCAGCCCTGCGCGCAAGCACCGCACAGTGCTCACACGTGGCCCAGTGTGCATGGACTGGGGAGCAGCGGGGACTGCGGGTGCACTGACAGCCAGACTCTCAGGCACCGTAGGCTCCTGAGCAGGGAAACACTATGAAGAGAAAGGCTTCACAAGAGAAATGGCCTCAGGGCGTCTGGCGGGCTCAGTTGGCAGAGTGTGTGATTCTTGATCTCAGGGTGGTGACTTCGAGCCCCACGTCGGGTATAAAAGTTAAATAAACTTACAACCAAAAAAAGTGAATTAGTCTCACACTGGCCCATGCAGTGGGCCGCGGGGGACAGGAGGACGGGCAGATACATGAACGAACAATCTGTTGGGTTAGTCGAGGGTGAGACATGAAGGCTGGAGCTCAGGTGTGGTTCTGTGGGGGCGCAGCAGGCAAGACTTCACGGCCAGATTCAATGTCGGGAGAAGGAAGGAGGTCGGAACATTCAGAGGTGGCAGACGCAGAAATAAAAATTGAGAATGGTGGGGGTGAGGAATATTAGGAAGAACTTTTTCCCTGTTAAAATTAAAAATTAGGGTTTAAAAAATAAAATAAATAAAAATTGAGGGTTTTAACCAGACACTATTACGTGACAGAGGACTCTCAGGCGAAGTGGCCACTGTCCCCTTTCTATGTTTGGGGACACTGAGGCACAGAGGCGAAGAGGGCTTTTCCGTGGTCCCCGACTATGGTGGAGCAGGGATCAGGATGCTGGCTTCTGACCTCTGGTCATGTATTCTTCCTGTCGTGCAGGAAGCAAGGAACAGAGGCCAGGGACCTACCTTGAGGACCTGCAGAGGGGCTCAGAGAGCAAAGAGAAACCAAAAAAGGAAACCAAGAAGGAGAAAGTAGTGGGTCAGAAAGGAGCCAAATAATTTAATGCCGTTAATTTCAAGGGAAACATTATGACTTTTGATGCTTCACTGGCAAAAATGTATCAAAAAACACTGTGAAAATGTAAATTAAAACATAAATGTAAATTAAAAATCAGTAAGCCTCTCTTAGTAGAAGCATTTTTTTAATTTTTGAAAAAATTTAAAAAAATTTTTAACATTTATTTATTTTTGAGAAACAGAGCGAGACAGAGCACAAATGGAGGAGGGGCAGAGAGAGGCAGGGACACAGACTCCAAAGCACGCTCCAGGCTCTGAGCTTTCAGCACAGAGCCTGACACCGGGCTTGAACTCACAGACCGTGAGATCATGACCTGAGCTGAAGTCAGCTGCTTAACCCACTGAGCCACCCATGTGCCCCTTAAAAAAATTTCCTTTAAATGTTTATTTTCTTTGAGAGAGAGAGAAAGAGAGAGACAGACCGTGAGGGTGGAGAGAGAGGGAGACACAGTATCCGAAGCAGGCTCCAAGCTCCATGCCATCAGCACAGAGCCTGATGTGGGGCTCGAACCCATGAACCGTGAGATCATGACCTGACCTGAAGCTGGATGCCCAACTGACCGAGCCACCCAGGCACACTTTAGTAGAAGCATTTCTATAAAATTATTCAGTGTTTTAAAAATAAGCATATAAAGGGGTGCCAAAAATTAGATCCCAAATAAAGGAAAGTTACTTACTTCTTCTAGATTATGAACAACCCGTTTGTGGTTGAATTCTGTCTTGAGGCGCTGGAATTCCTTATCCAAAATGGGATCTCCTCTATCTAGCTGGGTTTTTTAATCAAACAAAAATATTAACAGTGGATACAAATGCGCACAATGTCGTATCTCGTTAAAACTGATAGACCCATCCACTGATTGGCAGGACCCCTCCATGAAGTCTGGCCGGGAGCGAGTGACAGTAGTTTAAAGTGACTATTATAATTACACTCACTGTTTAAACACAGGGGGTGGGTGCAGACGCACGAATCCAGCGCTTTGTTTTCATAACCAGGGGACAGCAGCTCTGGAAATCATTTCCAAGACATTTAAAATTCACAGAAAGGATTTTAGAAAACCGTGTAACTACGGGAGTGCAGAGATTTCATTTAAAAGAAATGCAGCATTGCAGTAAAGTTTCAGGCTTTTCAGAGCAGATTATCTCAGCATCTGGTTTAACAAAGGCCGTGAGTCCACCCCCTCTCCTAGGTGGTGCAGGTGGATGGGACCTGCCCCTTCCCCGGAGGAAGCGTCCCCGAGGCGGCTCCCCTTCCCCACCTCCTGCTTCCCTGACCCCCAGGAGCCACGGGGCTTGGATTGATGCCCCTGCATATCCCTGCTTTCAGGGAAAAGGGGATGGTGCACACTGCAAAAACTTCCCGGTTTTTACCTATCTGTGTTTTTGATTAGAGTGACTTCTAAATCTAGCTTGGTTTGTGCGTACACTGTTTACAATCATTAAAAAAATTTTTTTTAATATTTATTTATTTTTGAGAGGGAGAAAGAGCGTGAAGGGTGCAGGGGCAGAGGGAGAGAGAATCCGAAGCAGGCTCCAGGCTCTGAGCTGTCAGCCCAGAGCCCGACGCGGGGCTCGAACTCACAGACCACGAGATCATGACCCGAGCCGAAGTTGGATGCTTAACCGACTGAACCACTCAGGCGCCCCTGTGTGCAATCAGTTTTGAAGACTTAACTGGAAAAGGAAGGTATTCTGATCCCCCACACTACCAAGAGAAACAAGACAATTGTATTACTGTCACCAACTGGTGAGCCATCTTGCTCTGATCTGCACGGATTGGGGAGCTGAGTCTGGGATGGATTTCGTGGGAGAGAGGCCAATCCTTCACCACAACTAAACACAAAATAAAATAAGCACCTTAAAGAAGGGAATGGCAAACAGGCTGTCAGCCAGAAGAGAGAGGACGGTGATGTGTTATATTTTTATTAAGACTCTACTTACTTACAATGCACATTTTGGAATTTACTCTCATTGGCCATCTCCCGAGTAGAAGCCCAGCATCTTGCTATAATACCTACTCCCTCTGCTCCCTCCACACCCCTTTCTGCCACATGCCACACCTCCAGGTGTTCCTTGCCGCTGGGTCACCTGCCAGGTCTGAGCTGCCAGAGATTTCCTGGACACACAGAATAGAGTGTCTACAACAGTCCACCTGCACTGGGGCTCGGGGTCCTGGGCAGTGGCGTTAGGGGTGTGACGGCTCCTTTCCTGCTCTCCGGGAACCTTTGCAAACGCTCGCTTCTCTCTGCCCGCCTCTCTTCAGCCCCTGCTCATGGCTGTCTCTGCAGCTGGACTTGCTTCCTGGATCACCCAGAAAGTCAAGGCCACGCGCAGTCTTCAACAGGCCCCTCTCCGCAGGCAAGCCTGCCTACACCACAGTCCTTCCTCGTGCTCAAGGTCAATCTTCCCCTCCAGCCACGGCCTCTTCCCGAACTTCTTCAGCCTTTTCTTCTGCGATTGCTCCTTGCGCTCGGGGTACAAACACGCTCGAGTGCATCAAGGTAGAAACCAACCTCCCTGACCCCTCATTCCCCTCTAATGGTCCAGGCCCACACTCCTCGCCCCTGCTCATCTCAGCTTCTCAAGAAACCATCGACTCACTTCTGTACATTCCTCGAGAGGCTGCAATTTGGCTTTTTACCTCCGCACATGTTCCAGCAAACGAGGGCCTCCGAATGGCCAAATGTGATGTGTTCTTCTCGGGCCCTGCCAGCCCCGCTCTGTCCCCATCTGTTTTCTCAGTGTAGTCCGGTTCTCCTGACCTCCTTGACCGTTTCCCTTCTGGCTTCTTCATCGTCCGCTGCAACCCCGCAAATCGGGAGCTTCTCTAGATTTCTTGTCTTGAGTTACCAGCTTCTTCCGCCATTCACTTTCCCCAGGTCACTGCGCTCCTCCCTGGTCTACTGGTCACCTATCTGCTGAGGCAGACTTGTTCCTTCAGCCGCCAGCTGGATGCCCTCCATGCCCCCCAAAACATGCCCCAAGTTGAACTTAAAATTTCCAGCAAGCATCGGGGCGCCTAGGTGGCTCACTAGGTTAAGTGTCCAACTTTGGGTCAGGTCATGATCTCACAGCTCATGAGTTCGAGCCCCGTGTCGGGCTCTGTGCTGATAGCTCAGAGCCTGGGGCCTATTTCAGATTCTCTCTCTCTCTCTACACCTTGCCCACTCACACTCTGTCTCTCTCTCTCAAAAATGAATAAACATTGAAAACAATCTTTTTAAATAATACAATAGAATAAAATAAAATCTCTAGCAAGCATCAAGGCGGGACACCTAGCAATCATCCTACCTTCTGCCTTTCTTTATCCTCTAATTACTGCAATTGGCACATGTTAAAATCATCCCTTGTTTCTATGCCCCTTTTGGACTATGCCCTTCTTGAGGGCAGGGAAAGTGGCTTATTCACCAGCACAGAATCTTATAGACCATGAATGTTCACTAAACACACTTGCCACATGAATGCAGTTGGGTTGGCCTGTCCACCAAATGCTGGCAGTTCCAGCCTTAATGGTCACATCAGTGTGGTCATGCCATGCCTGTATCACCTTGATCTTTAAAACAGTTAGAAAATATCATTAAAAAAAACCCCACCAAAAACAAAAATCAAGAGGTGCCTGGGTGGCTCAGTTGGCTAAGCGCTGGATTTCGGCTAAGGTCATGATCTCCTGGTTCGTGGCTTTGAACCTTGCGTCGGGCTCTGTGCTGACAGCTCAGAGCCTGGAGCCTGCTTCTGATTCTGTGTCTCCCTCTCTCTCTGCCCCTCCCCTGCTCACGCTCCATCTCTCTCTCAAAAATAAATAAACATTAAAAACATATTTTAAAGAAAGTATCATCCATTGTAAGGTGAACAGAAAACTTGACATATTGTTTTTAAAATCACATGCAGAGAAACTGATCTACCCATCAAGCTAAATTTAAATGCCAATCTCATAGGTGCCTTCCCTCAGTGCTAAGATTTATTAATGCAGTGATTTTACATTCTTTTGTCTACCTCAGAAAAAAGGAAGAAAAGTACGATAAATGTATTCAAATATCTGGGTTGGATTCCAATCAGGAAGAAGATGTAGGAGGAAAAATGCATTCTATATGAGAAATATATTCATAACTGACAAGATACCTGTCTTTCCCCAGTCCCTCCCACCCGATGCTGCCTCTGTATGTAGCACTGAGTGTGGGAAGCTCACACTCCCAAGCTTAAATACACGTGTTATAGCTGAATTATGTCCTTTCCAAATTTATATGTTGAAATCTTAACCCCTAGTCACATTAGAATGTGACTGTATTAAGAGATACAGTTTTTGAAGATATAATCAAGTTAAAATGAGGTCATGGAGTGGGCTTGCTCCATTGTGACTGGTGTCCATTATAAGAGGGAATTTGGACACAGAAAGAAACCGGGAAGGCACAGGGAAAAGAATGATCACTTACAAGCCACGAGGAGAGACCATCCCCTCTTGTCCCTTAGAAGGAACCAACCCTGCCAACACCTTAATCGCCGGCTTCCAGACGGTGACAAAATACATTTCTGTTGCTGACACCACCCAGATTCTGCAAGTCCAACCACCCCAGTCCAAGCCCCCGAGAGAGGAGGCGCAAGCAGAGCCCTATCTCCTCTGGCCCATGTGTGTCCTGTGCTTCAGCCACCACGGGCCTGTCCCCAGTGTGCCCTGCACCTGTCCTCAGAGAACAAGGTCTCTCATGCCATGGCAAGCCCAGGGGTGTGGCCCAGCCCCACCATTCCCGCCTCCACCCTCCCCTCCCCGAATCCACAGGCACTGCCTTGGCGACCCAGCCATGGCCCCCTCCCCTCAACCAGTTTCCTGCTCTCTGCTCAGCCCCCATAAGCATCTCTGACTTGGACCTGGAGTGGTGCCTGGTTGCTGTCTTTGTGTCCCTCTAACTTTGGCGCACAGGACAGACACACCTAAAGTCCAGAATTCCATCCTAAATCTGAGGCACTTCCCTTCCTCTGCATTGACTGCCTCTGTCCTCTGTGGCTTTTCAAAACCACGCCGTGTCTTCCAGAAGGCTTTTCAATTAAATGAGTTCTCTCATCTCTCTGGCTTCTAAATCCCCACAGTACACGGCCAGCCTTGATTTATGGTTAACAATTAACTCGTCAGCGGCTGCCTCCCCCCAACTTTAAGTTCTCTGTCTCCTGCTGTGGCATCTTGCGCAGAGCCGGGATTCAATCTGTTTAGTGCAATCAGTGACCCCAAGTTCACAGTGATTCTGACCTTGTACTTGGTGTTCTCTCTTTGCCGCTCTTCAATAAGGTCTTTTCTAAATTTAAAAGACATAGGATCTTTGCCGAGGTGCACCTGCCTAGGGAGAAAAAAAAATCAGCTTCCAGACAGGATCAGAATATTGTGGTTGACGTGGGGACGGAAGGTCTTAGCTGTACTCTACAACCGAGGAGGGGTGCTGAGATGTGGGAGGAGGGCCACGGGGGGGAGGGGTACTGTCGAGGCCACAGCAGCATGACTGAGATGAAGAATGTGTTCTACAAAATGAAGCTGCTCTTCTGGCAACACATGTTGACTATTTATAAATTTAAAAAATCTGGGTGCTCAGCACCTCTACTCACAAGGGAAATGCCAATCGTAACCACAACGACTGATGTGCTACCTCACACCCTCTAGGATGCAGTGACGACGACCATGACTTGCCAAGGGTGTGGACAAACACGGACTTTTGTATGCTGGAATGTGAAATGGTGCAGCCACCGTGGAAGACAGTCTGGCAGTTCCACAAAAAGCTAAACATAGAGCTAACCACGTGACCATGCGATTACACTCCTAGGTACATACCCAAGAGAACTGAAATGATGTGTTCGCACAAAAACTTGTACGGGAATGCTTACAAGAGCACTGCTCACAACAGCCAACAAAGGAAGGCCACCCAATGCCCATCAACTAATACATGGATAAACAAAACAGCCCACAGCCATACAATGGAATATTAGGCAGCCATAAAAAGTAACGAAGCCCTGATAGGTGCTAGGATGTAGGTGAACCTTGAAACCATGTTAAATGAAAGAAGCCCGTTATAAAAGGCCATATAGGTACGTATGATTTCATTTATTTTTTTAAATGTTTGTTTATTTTTGACAGAGAGAGAGTGTGAGAGCTGAGGAGGGGCAGAGAGAGAGAGGGAGACACAGAATCCGGGCTCTGAGCTGTTAGCAGCACAAAGCTTGATATGGGGTTTGAACTCACAAACCATGGGATCATGCCCTGAGCCGAACTTGGATGCTTAAACGACTGAGCCACCTGGCACCCCAGTATGGTTCCATTTAAATGATATGTCCAGAATAGGCGAATCTAGAGAGATATAATACTGGTCACCAAGGGCTGGGGGAGGGGCAGGGGAATAGGGAGTGCCTGCCTAATGGGTATGGAGTTTCTTTCTGGGCAAATATTCTGGAGTTGAGTAATGGTGATGGCTGCACAGCTCTGTGGATACATGAAAAACTTCTGCATTGTACACTGTAAAATGGCTAAAGTGGTAAACTTTGTGTTTTATGAATTTTACCACAGTCTAGAAAACTCTTGGATGGCTCAGTCGGTTGAGTATCTGACTTCAGCCCAGGTCATGATCTCACAGTTCACGAGTTTGAGCCCCATGTGGGGCTCTTGGCTGACAGCTCAGAGCCTGGAGCCTGCTTCGGATTCTGTGTATCCCTCTCTCTCTGCCCCTCCCCCATTCATGCTCTGTTTCTCTCTCTCTTAAAAACAAATAAACATTAAAATTTTTTCTAGAAAACTCTGGTATGTAGTGTATTGATGGTGGAGGCTGGCACATGTTCAAAATAAGTAGTAGCTATGACTTGAAGGAGAGTGAAGAGACCAGGAAGCTAAATACATATTATATGACCTTTGATTGGATGCTGGATTCTTCCCCTCCAAAAACAAACAAAATGGCCAGATAGAAAGGACATTATTGAGACAACTGTGTAAATCTGCATGTAGGCTGGTGATGATACTGTAATATTACAGTATCGACGTTAGGTTTCTTAGACGTGATTACGATAATGGTGGAGAATGTCCTTGCTCTTAGGAACTACATGCTCAAGTCCCTAGGAGTGAAGCCTCGTGACATCTGCAACTTGCTTTCCAACGGATCAGTGAAAGGTGTGTGTGACGTGTGCATCTGTGTGTGTGTGTGGAGACTGAGGGGACATCTGTGTGGCATAATGTCAGCAACTGGCGAACCCATGTCAAGTATATATGGCTGTCACTGGCAGGTTTAAAAAGCTTTCCAGAAAAAAGTTGGAAGAAAATATTAAGTGAGGAACACAGCATTCAAAGTTGAGTTCAGGGTGTGATTTGAGGTGTGTTATGAAGCATGGAAGGAAGGAAATACCCCAGTGCTAACAGCGATCATAGCGATTTTTCCCCGTTCTCTACACTTAAAAATTTTTCAGGTTTTCGACAAAGACAATGCGACCATTTTTTTATAACAGGGAAAGAGTATTTTAAGAAATGATCTACAGTTACTTGGCGATCTTCCCATTTAACAGAGGCCAGCCCACAGATAGAGACTGCTGCAGAAACAGAAGGTGCTTCCATGAGAAACTAAGGGTAGGTCCTCTGTGCAAGCAGGGTGGCCACGGGGGGCACCTGTGAGGGCCCTGGGGCTCAGCGCACCTTCCCTCTGTCTGGGAAGTGCGGAGGTGGGACGCGGATGGGGTGGCCTCTCAAAGACTTTCTGAGAGTCTCTTTTTTAGCTCAATTCAAGAGTTCCTAACTTTTACCTTCATAGAGTCTGTGCACACGGATGCATCTGGTATGATCTGGTGACAAACTGTGGGAAGGGCTCGATTTGGACTGCAGGAGCACAAGACAGAAGCTTCACCGCTGAGTTTTAGAACCTCCCCCGGGAGCCTCCTCTAACCCGGCCTGCACTGCTGGGCTCCCCGGAAGGCCCCTGGGGCACACTGCCCAGGGCACGGGGGGCTAATGCTGGGCCGAGAGTTGGGGCACCCGGGGGACAGAGCAGTGGCCAAAGGGAGCAGTGTCCTGGTCCTGCCACTGTCTGGTCACACTGAGGAAAGAACGTATCTGGCCACAATAATTGAGTCCTAATGGAAACTTCTAAGGTCCAGTGGAGGAGAGGGAATAATCAAACTTTTCAAAGGGCCCAAAAAGCTATTACATTTCATCATGTCTCATGTATAAAACACCATTACTAAAAACACTGTATTTTCACTTGATGTAAATAGTTACTCAATATTTACCACTTAAGGTGATTTTCCATCTCTTTGTAAGCGTCTTGTCTGACTTTCTGTTCAAACAGTGCTTCCTTCATCTGTCTTGTTTTTGAAATCTCGTTGCCTTGGTCCAAAACTGAGGGCAGGAGCAAACAACGATTATGCCACTAACCAAATCGGAATCATCCAAAGGCAGAAACACATTTCTACTAGCAAAACGTAACAGTAATCTCAGTTTTGTTGTTGCTGTTCATTAACAGTAAACGTGACAAGCAGTAATTCCTTCCTGTTCTGCCAGGGCTGATTTATAATGAATCAACTAGTTACCTTCTCTTAATTCTTTAATCTTCAATTTCCCTGGTTCTTGGTTTAAAACGGTTGCCACGGCAAATGGATTTGATAAATCCACTGGAAATCTCAAGTTCTGATATTCAATTTCCTGAGACCAGATCAGGAGGGAAAAGTCAGTATTTTGCTTCTCGATAGTTCCTTCCATCATGTTGAGCATAATGCGCACGTTACCTTAACCTTTGGGGGCTTTATTTTTGGTGGCAGGCGGTGGAAATTTATGTGTGTCATTGCCTTTTCTGGAGGAACATTTCCTTTCTTAGAAAGAGCGTTTAATGTTTCAAATTCTTCTAATCTATGGTTTAAAACAGATGCTAAATTAGTACATAATCCAACAGCTCAAGGTTCCTATTTTTTAAAGGATTTTTTAAAATGTTTATTTATTTTTGAGAGAGAGAGAGAGAGAGACAGAGACAGAGTGCAAGCAGGAGAGGGGCGGAGAGAGAGGGAGACACAGAATCTGAAGCAGGCTCCAGGCTCCGAGCTGTCAGCACAGAGCCCGACATGGGGCTCAGACCCACGAACTGTGAGATCATGACCTGAGCCCAAGTCAGATGCCTAACTGACTAAACCACCCAGGTACCTCTTTAAGGATTTTTAAGTAATCACTGCACCCAAAGTGGGGGCTCAAATTTACAACCCCAAGATCAAGAGTCACCTGCTCTACTGACTGAGCTGGCCAGGTGCCTCACAAACTTCCTATTTTTATGTTCCTTCTGGTAATACCATGACTTTTGGTCACTTAATGACTATATCTACACTGAAAATAAATTTATGTGCTAAAACAGTGGTCTACTGGGGTGCCTGGCTGGCTCAGTCAGTAGAACATGTTACTCTTGATCTCAGGGTTGTGAGTTCAAGCCCCACATTGGGCATGGAGCCTACTAAGAAAGAAAGAAAGAAAGAAAGAAAGAAAGAAAGAAAGAAAGAAAGAAAGAAAGAAGGAAAGAAGGAAAGAAGGAAAGAAGGAAGGAAGGAAGGAAGGAAGGAAGGAAGGAAGGAAGGAAGGAAGGAAGGAAAGAAGGAAGGAAAGCTTTATATAAAAAATAAATAAAACAGTGGTCTATTAAAATAAATGCAATGTCAGTATACAAGAGTATAATCATCTATGTCAAAATAGTCTACCAATGGCTGCTTTTCCTTACCTTCTCTAAGAACACAACAAGTGGTCAACATAACTTGCTGAAAAATGCTCTCACAGACTAGTGTGATTTGTTTCTAGGCTGTTGGGTTTCAATAGTAAATCTACTACATTAAAAAAAGAAATCTTACACTGATTTAGCTTCCTAGTAAAAGAGTGATTATGGCCACTGTGTACAGTAAGATTTTTTTTTTTTTTTTAGAGAGGTAGAGCACATGCGTACGAGCACACACACGTATACATGAGGGGGAGGAGCAGGGGGAGAGAGAGAGAGAGAGAGAGAGAGAGAGCATCTCAAGCAGGCTCCATGCTTAGCTTGGAGCCCAATGCGGGGCTGGATCCCATGACCCTGACCAAAATCGAAAGTCAGATTCTCAGTCAACTGAGTCACCTAGGGGCTCCCAGGAAAATCTTTTAAAAAGCAACTCAGATGAATATTTGAGATATTGTAGGTGTAGACAGTGCTGCTACCATGCCTCCCGAAGCTACCAGAGTTCTTTATTATGAGATGGAGTAGAACTGTGTCATCTTCAATGCCGCGAAGCATTGCTTTAAGCGACAATATGTGAACACTTGTTTAGCATAATTACTCATGCCTGTGATATTCCAGAAAAAGGAATATATTGACATTCATTCATTCTGACTGTCACAGTACATCTGCCGAGCCCCGACCCCCCACTGCACAGCATATGGGATACACCAGCAGTCTCAAACTTCACGTTGCCCACGTAAGAGCATCCCAAAAGGCCAATGGCCTGAGTGAATGTGTCCTTCGTCAAGACACATGCTGACCGACAGGCCGTGATGTTCAGGGCAGAGGCAGCGGGTTAGGGAGTGAGCTGCGGCCCCGTGTCCACATGTCATCAGAGCGCTGGTGTCACCTCTGCTATAAATATTGGGAAACAACACACAATCTTTGAGGGCATTAAAAATCAGTCTCCTCAAGCAATCTAATTGCTGACAATGGAAATGAAGGGGTCGAAGACAACAGTAAAGTTTAACAAGGACTTATTCATGGAACTTAAGTCCATCACACACCGTATTCTGAAATGACAAAAACCAGCAACAGTAACCTATGAATCTTTCAGAGAACACTGTGGCCAGGAAAATGTTTTTCCTTCACGATAGAATTTATATGTTCTATTACTATCCACAGTCTGGGGGGACATGCGGGTCTGGAGATGTAATCCTTGAAAATGTCAAGTGTACTATGTAAGATATTAAACTCCAGCTGCGTGACCGAAACGTGAGTCTGGAAATAGAATATGTCTGCATTTGCACGGTGCTTCTACCACATAGCACTCTCGTATATTTAAGGAAGCAAAAATCCACCCAAACAATGTCTTCAAGAAAGCCATTTGTCATCACAGCATATGACATGAGATGGCAAATAGCATTTTGTGTGGCCAGTTATCTAACACCAGAGAAATTACTGCGATCTTTTATCATCTCCAGTGCTACTTGTTTATTGCCAGGACGATTTTATTTCTACCGTGGTTACTTGCAGGATTTGGGTTCAGCAGACCACACTAACATCCTATAGCTGATGTAGGCTGCTTGGAATTTTTAGGAAGAAAATCATGACATAAATATATAATCATGGCATTCATTCATATTTTGACATAGGGGTGTTACTCTACTTTTAATATGCCTAATGTTGTTAGCATGTGATGTGTATCTATGCATGAATAGGAGAGAAGGAAACTCCAGCTATGTCTTGATCGTTTTCAAAATATCTGTGTGGATTTTCTAAGGTTAGTATTTATGCTGTGACAAGTTTCCTTTAGCTCTAATAAAAATCACACGAATTAGGAAAAACTTGTAATTTTAACCAGATATATTGGGATAGAGAAATATAAGCTTACAGTCAAATGGAAATGGAAGTTCTGAAAACATTTTGTTACAAAGTAGAACTTCATCTCATTTAACACCTTTACTCTGATCTGAAGGCTGATGATTCTTTAAAAAACGAAAAACAAAACAAAACAAAACACCTCCCGTGCGACACATTTTCATTTTTGCCTTATGTTGAAGTCACTTGTTATACATGACTTATTTTGGCTCCTGTGTTGTATTTTCAGAGTGTGGACTGTGTCCCATAGGGCTTTGCAATGGACACTGCACACAGCAAGCACTCATTAATTATAAGGTCATATTGGGTCATACTGGGGTTTAGTCAGTTAAAGTGTCTGACTGCAGCTCAGGTTGCGATCTCCCAGTTCGTGAGTTCGAGCCCGGCGTTGGGCTCTGTGCTGACAGCTCGGAGCCTTGAGCCTGCTTCAGATTCTGTGTCTCCCTCTCTCCCTAGCTTGTGCTCTGTCTCTGTCTCTCTCTCAAAAATAAATAAACATAAAAAATTTAAAAAATAATATCATATTGAAAAGTTGAAAAAAGTTATGCTGTTCCTGTCTTATGATTTACATTTAAAATAAAGTGTAGGGGCTCCTGGGTGGCTCAGTCAGTTAAGCATCTGACTTTGGCTCAGGTCATGATCTCGCAGTTTGGGAGTTCAAGCCCCACATCAGGCTCTGCACTGATAGCTCGGAGCCTGCTTGGGATTCTCTTTCAATCCCTCCTTCTCTGCCCCTTCCCCCGCCTCTTTCTCAAAATAAATACACTTTAAGTTAACATGTATATACATATACATGTATATACATATGTGTAATATACATATATGAAATGCATGCATAAGGTCACAACTCAACCAGCCCAGTAGTAGTAATCAGTAAAAGCAAGTATCCCTCAAACCAGCTTTTCTTGGTCATCTCTTCCTCTCTCAGCAAGAACAACTGCTGCTACAAGCCTAGAGCTATTTTATGCATTACTGTTCATTTTAAGGAGTATTTTATGAACGCTCATCGTCTTATGTACGGTTTCAATGGCATTCTGTTACAAGAAAGAAAGACAGAATGGAAGACATGGCGACCTGAGGACTTTTTTTTAACAAACTTCTAGGAGGAAACAAAAGACATTCCAAAGCAGCCGTACGGTAAAGCCATGTTGGGATAGCATGTTCCAGTGAAGACACATCCGTAGGGTTGGGAGTTGAACTGTGAGATCCACAGCTGCATTTTCATCTGTGCAGTCCCGTACTGAAATGGCGTGAACTTGACGGTCACGTTCATCTTCCCATTAGCTGGGATCAGTCCTGAAGGGAAAGAAATGAGACGACACGGTTCTTTCTCGCCTTGTGAAGCCTAGTCAAGGGGGCTGATACACACACAACCGTGATCTTCCCATGGGGAGTACAAATGTTCCCAGTGGCTCTAGACGGTCTTTTCTTTAAATCTGTGTGATTCGACTTCTACATGTTTACACTGATCTCGATCCTTCATAATAACTGGCTGTCAGTTATATAAATGTATACATATCCATCAGCATTAGTGAGTCAGACATGAGCTCCCAGAACTATAATCTGTAAGCTGATTACCAGTTGTCGATGTTAATGCTATAAGCAACAAAGGATAGCTAGGAACACACATAAAAGTTTCCGTCCAAGTAATTCAGTCTCCTGCATTTTGGTGTAATTAGATTCTCTCCTTCCAAATCTTTGGAATGGACAGTATACTGCTCTCTCTGAAGTCAAATATCCCACCTAACCTTATTTTTCTTTTGTATCTCCAGTACCAAAAGGGCTTAGAATATAGTAAGTGCTCGGGGTGCCTGGGTGGCTCAGTCGATTGGGCACCTGACTTCAGCTCAGGTCATGATCTTATGGTTTGTGGGTTCGAGCCCCGCGTCGGACTCTGTGCTGACACCTCAGAGCTTGGAGCCTGCTTCAGATACTGGGTCTCCTCTCTCTCTGTCCCTCCCCCACTCATGCTCTATCTCTCCATCTGTCAAAAACTGAATAAACATTAAAAATTTTTTTTAAAAGAATATAGTAAGTGCTCAATAACAGGAAAGAAAAAGAAAAGGAAGAAAAGAAAGGAGGGAGAGGGGGAGGAAGGATCAATGTAGTAGATACAAGAAGGGCTGATGTTCTCTCTGATTTCCACGGAAGGCTCTTCGGTGTGCCTTCTAGATGATTCCTTATGCCCTCACATATCTGGTCTTCGCACTACCCCTGCAGAGGCCTACACATTCCCTCAGAATTGCTTGGCGCACCCCCCTTCTCATCTATGCCCTCCTCTGAATCTTGTCCTGCTGCCTTCCTTGTTCTCTGTGCACAACCACATGGACCTTTGACTTGTCGATCCAAAGCCTTCACTAAGCACTTACTGTGTCCCAGGCAACGTTTCAGGCACCCAAAAAGTAGCAATAAACAAAACAAAGTCCCAGATCTCCCAGAGTTTACATTCTAGCTGGGGACAGAAAGCAAACAAGCAAATAGGTGAATATAACACATAAGGTCGTGCTATGAATACCAGCAAGAAAAATAAAGCAGGATGCGGGGCAGGCAAGTGAAATGAAATGCTCTATTTGAGGTAGAATGAGCAGGCGGCTTCTCTGGTGACGACATGTTGCAGCTGAGGCTTGAAGGAAGGGAGGGACCTTCACTCTAACCCTCACACATTGGGCTCCTGCGGCCTCAGGGTCTTGGCACTTGCTATTCCCTTTCGCGAAATTTTCTTTTCTTTTAGTTTTTGTTTGTTTTTAGAGAGACAGCAAGTAAGGAAGAGGGAAAAGGGGGAGAGAGAATCTTAAATAGGCTCCACGCTCAGCACGGAACTCGATGTGGGGCTAGATCCCACAACCCTGGGGTCAGGACCCGAGTCAAAATCAAGAGTTGGATGCTCAACCAACTGACCACCCAGGCACCCCTTCTTTTAGTTTTTTAATCCTACTCTCTGAAATGACCACGTTTTGCAGTCTGCCTTCCCCTAGCCTTAACTGTAGTTTTATAAAAGTAGGTGCCTGCTCATTACTGTGTTCCCAGCTCAATAAATACTAGTTGAATGAATGAATGAACCAAGTCTCATTCACTCACTCAACATATGAATCACATGAAACTCCCCTTGACTCCCCTTCCCTGGAAGCCTTCACTCCCTTAAACTTCTGTCCACCCAAGTGCCACCTGAACTGTTAATCTTCTCAAGTTTACAGCTCTCCCCCTGGACTGCAAGCCCCCAAGGCTGACGACAGGCCCCAAAGCTCATTCACCATCCTGGGATCCCTTGCTCAGTGCTTCAGAAATAGGTATGGGTCAACCTCCTGAGAGCAGAAGTCCAAACCTTTAAATGACATCCACCTGTGACCCAGGAAGTCACTGCAGGGCAGCGTGAATCAGCAGAAGAGATGGGTTCTAGTGGCTGACCTAGGATCAGCTGAACACGAACCCCCAGAAAGTGCTGCAGGTCCATACCTTGACCACCCACTCGGTCAGAAAATATACCATCTGACCTGCAGTCCACTGGGGGCTTTAGACTAAAAACATTCTACTGCTTCGGCTCCAGCTCATTAACTTAAAAAAATAAGAACAAGCTTTGGAGCAGGGATTAATGTTTGCCTTGACCTGGCTGATTTATTTTGAAGTGCTCCCAGCCCACACCTAATACATAAAGCACACTGGGGCGTAACCCGGGCAACCAGAGTGTACACTGCTTTGTCCATTAACAGGGACACCAGTTAGCACGGCTCTGTTACCGGAACTTGGTTGCGACTGATTGTCGTGTGTTAACCTCGCTCTGCTAGGTGTGCCTAGCAGTCCTGGCTTACTGCTTGGCAGAAACTAACGGTGGAAGAAAGGAGAGCAAGTTTCATGTTTTAAAAGTTAAGAAGCACCCTCCCCCCCCACCCCCATTACTACTTCATTTTAAAAAGCCCAAACCCAGATTTTATGGGTTCCGTTCAATCCGGGGCCAATTTCAGATCACTGTCCTTAACATCAGAGGCATAATGTTAAATAACTGGGCAGGGTGGGTGGGAGGCACATGAGAGAAAAACTGAGACATAAGCTAAAGGCTAAGAAAATCCTAGTCTGTCAGTAAGATGGGTATAATGAAGAAAATGTAGTGACACTGAAAAATACTATAATGATTCATGAAGTGACCAGAAAATACCACTGGATCTTTGCCTTGATTTTTGTTTTTTTAAATTTATTTTTGAGAGAGAGAGAGCGAGAGAGCAAGCTGGGAAGGGGCAGAGGGGGGGTGGGACAGAGGATCCAAAGCAGGCTCCATTCTGACAGCAGCGAGCTTGAAGCAGGACTTGAACTCACGAAACTATGACCTGAGCCAAAGTCAGATGCTCAACTGGCTGAGCCACCCAGGCGCCCCGACCTTGATTATTTATGTAAAGTATGCATAAACATGGCCAGTCACCCACAGGAGATGGGAAAATACATCCTTTGTTAGGGTGGTTAGGCCCAGGGTGGGGGTCATTTTTCTAAACATTTCTTCTTTCACGTCCATACAGTGTCATTATACAATATTGTTATACTCTTTAAATAACTTTTTATTTGAAATTCTCAGAAAGCACAGATCATCCTCCCTAAATTATCACAAAGTCACTTAAGCTCGCATGCTTGAAGCCTTAGTAAGTATTGGTCTTAATCTTCCAGGATTTAGAGTTTTACGAGCTGTGGGATTTTGGGTAAATTTCTTGATCTGTCTAAGTTTTGCACGGGGATTTAATGGTGCACCGTTTAAAACCTGTCCATTAAAAAGCGGTCGACAAACTCGGTGTTTTGGATTCACTGGATTGCAGGAGGAAGGGCTTTAAGACGCACCTCCGTAGGCCACACGCCACCCACTGGGACACGCACAGGCCACTGGCCACTGCACAGGGTATGCCGACAACACAGACCCTGACCCACTGGGCCCCGTACAAGGTCTGTGACGTGGCTTGTTACTTTACCGGAGGCTCCATTTTCTCAGCTGTGAAATGGGACAAGGTTTAAAGGAGAAAACAGTGTACATGGTCTGGTATAATTCTTGCTTAGTAAGGGAGTGTGTGTCCTATAAATGTGTCCTTCCCGGCATCTGTGCCAAACATAATGAGTAATGACTTATTCTGCATTACATATATTATATCATTAAAATGTCGGGAAGAGGGGGCTCCTGGCTGGCTAAGTTGGTGGAGCGTGAGACTCTTGATCTCAGAGTTGTGAGTTTGAGCCCCACGGTGGGTGTGGAGACTGTTTTGTTGTTGTTGTTGTTAAAGTTAAAAATAAAATAAAATGTCAAGAAGAGGAAGTATTTCTTGGAAAACCTTATACGGTCGACTGTGGAACAACATGAGGGTTAATGGCACTCACTCCCTGTGAAGCTGAATTCCTACATACACCTTTTTTCTTTTTAAGTTTATTTATTTATTTTGAGACAAAGAGACAGAGGGAGTGGGAGAAAGGCAGAGAGAGGGAGACAGAGAATCCCAAGCAGACTCCACACGGTCAGTGCAGAGCCCAATGGGGTGCTCACCGTGAGATCATGGCCTGAGCCAAAGTCAAGAGTCAGACACTCAACTGATGGAGCCACCCAGGCGCCCCTTCTACATACAAGTTTAACGCCCCCCCAAAACATAATGACTAATAGCCTACTGTTGACCTGAAGCCTTACCAATAACATAAATAATCGACACATATTTATCAGTTCTATGTATTTTATACCATATTCTTACCATAAAGCAAGTTAGAGAAAAAAACATTATGGAGAAATTCCTAAGAGAAAATATATTTACAGTTGTGCTGTACTTATTGAAAAAAATCTGCATCGAAGTGGACCCGCACAGCTCAAACCAGTGTTGTTCAAGGGACAACTGTGCCTGGCCCATCTGGGTTCTAAAAAAGGAAGAAGCTGGGGCGCTTGGGTGGCTTAGTCGGTTAAGCGTCCGACTTTCGCTTAGGTCATGATCTCGCGGTTCGTGGGTTCGAGCCCCGTGTCGGGCTCTGTGCTGACTGCCAGCTCAGAGCCTGGAGCCTGTTTCAGTCTGTGACTCCCTCTCTCTCTGACCCTCCCCTGCTCACGCTGTCTCTCTCTCTCTCCTAAAATAAATAAAACATTAAAAAAATTTTTAAAAAAATAAAAAAGGAAGAAGCAACGGCCTCATGATGGCAGGCCACTGGGATGAGTTTCCCAAAGCACCTGGTCTTTCTTTTTTGCTGCACGAAGGTGCCAAATGCAGGCGATTCTACAGGTCAGAAGACAAGGACTGGGCTGCCTCTGGGAAGATCGACTTTCAACCTTATTAATTTTGAGAGAGAGAGGC